ATGCACACACACATATACATATTTATTTATTTAATTTAAATAGTTTATATTATTTATTTAAAGATAGTGGATAAACACTATGGCAACATAAAAATGCTACAAAGTCTGTCAAATAAATAAGGAAGAATCATTATAGAACTTAGAAGTAGTACTTTTAAAAAACACATCCGAGCGATACACAGAAATCATTTTATGATTCCTCAGTTTACCTCAGCGGCCATTGATGATTCAGCAGTGACTTCCTCTGTGGACAAGTGGCCGCCCTCGATGACAGAGCTAGTGAGCATCAGTTTGGCCTGTGCACGCCGTAGCACCAGCTCCTCAACAGTGCTACGAGCAACCAGCCTTATGATCTTCACTGGTCTGCAAAAGTGATGCTGCCTAGTTAGTGCTGGATGAATGGTTTGAAATGAGTACCAGGTGTCAGTAAAAACCTCAATACGACTTCTTCCTTGTACTGATTTCTAATCTAGCATCTCATAGAGTGTTTACTAGGTTGGCAAAGTTTTTTTGGCTTTTCGTTACACAGACAGTACAGCTATAAAGACGTAATTAACCAGTGTTACACAGACAGTACAGCTATAAAGACGTAATTAACCAGAGGAAGTGATGCAAGTGTAACTGAAATGATATGGAAGATGGCCAAATATGGAGCACTGGCCGCGCATAGAAGAGAAGTGCGCGCGGCAGAGGGAAAAGAAAAGATAACATGGTGGATCCGTGCGCCATAATGCAAGCCAGCGCACGGATCCAAAGAAAAGACTAGGTGACAGAAAGTGTTCCTCTTCAGGGTGGCATGTACGAACCGCCGCAGTATATATAGTCTATTTCACGAAGCTGTCCCTTATTTCCCAGTCTGCTGCGCCTTGATTAACAGTACTAGTAGAGTCCACTAAGCATTTGCACTCGTTAACGATGTGTATTTCGAAGTAAATAAGACTACGTGTGTTGAAATGTATATCGAATAAACAGAGGTAAATTCGGTGACACGCAGGCTGACATATTGTCTTCCCACTACGCATTGCGCAGCACAACCTGTAGCATGGTAGACTGTAGACGGTATAGGGGGTAAACGGTAGACTGGTACACTGCCAGTTCGCTGCATGTCTCTAGAGCTTGTGACAAGGGCTTGGAAACATTCTAGGCCTATTTTCACATTTGACATGGATTCTTCCGCTCTCTCAACATAGATGAAATAGTTCTAATTGTATTTTCATTTGCACAATAAGTGCACGAAATTTAACGAAGTACAGCTTGTGATCTTCTATTTACATAACATATCGAATAAACACAAAAGTTTGCTTCAAACTGTTCGATTACCAAACTTTTCGAGCGATCGGCATAAATAGGAGAATTCGTATAGAGTAGTGATCGCCGTCTCCGTGTAAGTAGTCCACTTCGCGGACGGGTATAGTTTCACTCACTATAAGGCGCGAACGTCCAGTTTAGAAAACAAAGATACTGCGTGATTTTGATTCAGGGCAAATAAGTGATTACTGGTTGATTACAAGGCTTACAAGCGTTAATTTGTTGATTAACAACAACAACAACACTCACTGCTTTCTCCGTGTTTCCTGGGCTCTTTGGACCTCGGCTGCTTCCCTCTCCTGTGCCTTCCTCATCATTGTGTCAGCTCTCTTCTTCGCACGTTCTACCGTCTCCTCCTCTGTAAGCACCTTCCTTGGCAGACTTGGACGATCAGGGAGAAACATTTGAGGTGATGGCGCATTCCTGCTTCTCAACCCTCTCTCTTGTCCTATCGCCGAATCAATGTTTTCTTTTCCATCTGTCATGACATCATTTGATGTTTAAATAACACATTTCTGAGAATAAAACAACATTTTTAAAAATCCAGTACATACCAATAGGATATGTGCACGTGTTAGTTAATAGTAAAAAAATGGATGAAATATTATAGGTGCCATAACATCCATCATCAGCTATCTTACACTTAGAAGTTTATGGACAGATTGCATGGCCCACAACGATCATGCAGGTCCTAGTTAGAATGATGAGAAAACTTCAATGACCTAGTAGCAACAGATTGAAAGCCTTTCTGTCATCTGCAGAAGTTTCCTTTGAGTAGTCCTTTCCTTCAAATGAGTAGATGCTATCTCCCATACAAGTGGATTTCTTTAATAGGTCCTATCATAACAACAAAGAAACAAATGTGTGAGTCACTGGTATACACTCTGCCATATAAACTTTATATAATAAATAATAGTCCAATAAATCCCTCTGCTTGAGTTTTCATCTGTTTGTTCACACTTATTCACATACGCGCAAGTGAAAAGGAGAGGATCTATTAAACATGGGTCTTAAGTAGGGCTGTAACGATACACAAGCCTCTCGATTCGATCCGGTTCTCGATATTAGCCTCTCGATTCGATCCGGTTCTCGATATTAGCCTCTCGATTCGATTTCTTCGATTCGATTGCCAAAATATTGAAATGTTATCTTATTTTTTATATTTTCATTATTTTGCAATAATAAATTATTAGAAATTGCCAATGAATACTAAATGGTGAATAGACTAGAGTCTAGAGAGTATATATACACTGCACAGACGCTGAGTAACATTGGTGAGTAACACTCCACAGTATATAGCGTAGTATAAGTGGTATCGAAGTGGAACCGAAAATACGGGGAAAAATATCGAGGATCGGATCGAAGGAAGAGAATCGCGATCTGAATCGATTTCGGTGGATCGTTACAGCCCTAGTCTTAAGACTATATACCTCCTCGTCTTTTCCTATATCAGTCCATCGGCTATTCACAGTTTTTCCGAGGATCCTTTCAAACTCCTCACAGGTAACTTCTCTGTTGACGTTGTCACCCGATTCGCCCAGTAAGTTGCTGAGGCCAAACTGAATCATGTCTGCCATCTGCGGAGGAGCACAGATATACAACATTTGCATTAACAGTTATGTCCGTTGTAACAATCAGCAAAGCCTTCAGGCAAGCTATTAAGCCCCTCATAACACTTCACAACTTATCAATACAATATCAGAGATATTCCTTTTGTGCACGCACGCATGCATGCATGCAC